CTGCCGTCGTGGTCGAAGCCTTCGTGGCGCGAAGAAACGTGCGCATCTGGTGGAAGGGATTCATCATGACAATGCGCCGGCCTCTCTTATCGCCAAAGTTCCAATTAAGCGCACTTACATGCGCGCGCATGGAGTTCTGGTCTCTGTCATGCCGAGACCGAAAAGAGGAGAGGTCAAAGCAAGGTTTGCGATCCTAAAGCTTCTTTGACGATGAGCCTGGCGTGGTGATTCGAACAACAAGCATATCCCCTCTTCTGCATCAACTTGATGACTTGCGTCGGGGCGCGCCTATCGGTCATGCTTGCTATGCCCAGTCTGCCTGAGGAAGCGGTGTACTGCCTCGCGGAATCTGAAGAACACGAGCGTCGATTCCTCATCACAGCGATCGCGGGTAGGGCCATTGCGGGGCATCACGACTGGCCGCCTGAGGTGGCACGCGACTGTCGTCATAGCCACCTGTGAATTGGTCTCGATATGACCATCTGAAGATTCCCCGGGGCATGAACTCCTATTCGAAAGTGTTCCAGGAAAACGGAGAAGATGCTTGGTTCAACGTTGTAAGCCGACTTCTTTGGAGTGAGACGCCGTCAAAGAAGTGGCCGGGTTTGCAATTGCGCGACCACCAGCTCAAAGTCAAGGATGCCGTGGAGCGTCCATTGATGTGTGTTATCCATGGATGGATTCGCATGGCTATGCCAGGGTATTCGCAGAGCCCAGCCTTCAGTCTGGGGTAGTGCCTGGAACATCATGACGATCTGGAGACGGGACGGTCCGCATAGCGCTAGTGTGACAGGGTCCGAGAAGTGTCTCGGAAATCTGAGTGGCTTGCTTCAGAACATGGGACACTGTTGTTTGTGCAGCTGGACCGGGACAGCATCATCCTCGACAGCGGTGAGTCTGCTGCGAGAAACCAGTGGCGCCATGAACGGATATCGGCAACAGATGCGTGTATTGTGTGCTGGACGAGTTCGCAGGGACAAGATTGTATTCGCACCGATCGATTGTCAGGCGTGCCACGTAGACTGCTTAGTCGATGATGTGTAATTGCAATGTGACTGACATCTGTGCCTCCGCTTTGGGCGCCCTCTTGCAGACCGCATCTACGCAGGACAGTAGAAAGGTGAGTCAGTACGTACGAGGAATCCTCGCAGGCCAATCCAGGAAAGAGTTGAAACAGCCAATGGAAGGGCAGAGCAACACACCGAAGCCGGAGGTGCACGTTACGAATACTGGCGGTGTATTAATCGAGCAGACCTCATGCCTTGGCTACGTATACACCGCACAGAGTGCGCAAGGTCATCCTTCCCTCAATTCCAATGCAATTTGAATTTGAAGGAGCGAAGCCCGCGGGGTCAGCGGAGAGGTATGTTGTGTCCAAGTGTCAATAGTACGAACCTGAGGGCAGATACAAGATCGCACCACGAATGAACATCATTCGCAGTGACAGGCGTCCCGGGCCTTCGGATCAGCAAGATAATGCCCATGGCACCGGCTCGATAGTGTGGGAAGTGACAGCGACGGCGCCCTTTGCGGTACCAGAATGATGTGCCTCTGTTGCCGGGGCGTCTGTCTCCCGAACGCCATGTGGTTGTAGACTCAGCGCAGACTGAGCTGGTGCCACAAGCTTTTGCATGACCCGCTGCAAATGTCTGGGAATATGACATCCTAGCGAAAGTCAAACCATTGAACGAGCATGCGCTGTCCAAGTCGTGGTGACCTTCGAGTACATGCCCTGTTGTGTGCAATGCAGCTGCAAGGACAAGGTGCGTGAACTTCGCGCTTCCAGAGCAGTGGAAACGACTCTGCGGCATCGCAGAACCTTCTGGCAATGTCCCGAAACTGAATTGTTCGTAATGGTTCGGCTTTACCTGCCGATGGAGGGATAATCCACACTCTGGCAACCTGCGTAGTCCTGAGCCGATCGTTGTCTGGCATTCTGCGGAACGGCCGACCACCGTAGTCAAGGATCTCATCAACACCATTGACATCTAGGCTGTGAGCGGCTACATGTGCCGTATAGCCGATGGCCGATGGCCGAACTTGGAGCTGAAAGCTGAGAGGACAGGTCATGCCAGTCTTTCAAAGTCGTTGATGTAATGGCAAACCACAAGCACATCTACATTAACAATGACTATGCGATGGCTGCATAGTGATCAAAAGCGGCGTGAGTGAGGTATCCTTCGCGATGGTGGCGTGAGCCTTGGGGTTAGATTAAGACGGCGAGCCCCATACAGTCAAAGTATCCATTGTGTGGTCTTGAATGAGCCCATGGGAGACATTGTTCACGGGACTCATGACCGTCTCCAGTATTTGTAATCTGTCATTGCCCGATTCTTCGGCGGACTGATAACTGGAGCATGTGATGCTGGAATGTATCTCAGCACGTCGGGAGACTGGAAGTGAGACCCCCAATGCTGCCCGTATCGTGTAACATCGGCCAGCGGCATGTCGTTGCAGAGCATTTATCGTTTCACGACTTGACCACATGGCCCGAAGCTGAGAATATTCCGAAACCTCGCTTGCATATTGCTGATGTTGCGCGACACAGGAGGAATGTTGCGATGCCCATGGGCCATCCGGTCGATCGTGGTCCCCCAAGAAGCGTATCACATCTTTACGCGAAGTCAGAACGCAGAACTGTCCAACGGTCGTCATTCTGCAGTAACCGATAAGCCTGAGACGACACGATCTGACGTGTAGTTCTGAAGAAGAGCAGTAGCAATCGGGGACCGTTAAGACAGGTAGCGACCGTTGTGAAGCATGTGCTATTAGCAACGGTTCTAGTCAGCCCACGCTCGATTGAGCGACTTCTCGAACCCGAGCCCACGATCTTTCATCTTGTCGCAAAGTGCCGTTTTGGGCGGAGCGCAGAGTCAGGGATAGATAGCGGCGATCGTTCTCCACATATCGGAGCTAGTCGAGGATCTCCTTGCAAGTCACAATCCTCGACAGAACAGAGCGCTGGCTGCAGAATGCTGTGGTATTTTGGTTGCTGTAATGTAATAAGGTCACTCTCTGGGTTGGTGACCGCCGCAGCGCGGGAGAAGGGAGGGGAGGTGGTGGCGCTGGTGCTGGCGCTGGTGCTGGTGCTGGTGCTGGACGACGGCAGGCACAGCACAGGGGGACACGGGTCGGATTCGGATCACGGGAGATGGTAGCGTCATCGCGAATTTCTTCTGAGACGGCACGCGAACAGTAGCAGTCGCACAGCAGTCGGAGCTCACGAGTTTCCAGGCGGAGTGGAGCCTGCGGGTGAGAAGTGCACGCATCGTGACTAGCTGTGCAACGCTGCGGTGCGGCTGGTGGTGAGAAGTGAGAAGTCACAAGTGGTTGTTGGAGTGAGGGAGGTTGCGGACATGGCGGGACAGGAGGAAGTGGAAGTGGAAGTGGAAGTGGAAGGTGTACTGTAGGAAAGCACACGTTCAACAAGGGGGGGGGCGGGAGGGACAGGGGTCGAGGGGGTGCTCCGACGGGAAGGGGGACTAGCCGCCAAGAGTCAGCGGGCCGCTTCCGCCGGGCGCTCATTTCGTTGCAACACATGGCACATCGCTCTCGCAGCGCCACCTGCTGAGAGCACGACCTCGACCGCGACGGCGACGGCGACGGCAACCACGACCGGCGCGCTGGACACATCCGAGGAGACATCACGCGTCTGCCGTGCGCTCCGTCAAGCAGCAGAGATGGGAACTGTCTCTCGCCGCTGCTGGGCCTCCCGCCGGGTGCACACCCACCCCGTGATGAATCTGTGAATGGTCAGCGAGAGCCAGCGACGTGGTTCCTGTTCGACTCAGTACCACCGCAATGGCAGCATTTGCGGCAGCGATTCCTCGGAACGCCAGCCCGCCGCAGCGAAACAGTCCGCCAGTCGTTGCGTTTGGGACCACAGGCACGGTGTGGCGCGGGCAAGAAGCTAAGCTCAGCTAAGCTCAGGTAAGCAGAGCAGAGCAGCAGGCGATAAACAGCAGGACACGGCGCCCGCTAGGCCCTCCGCCCAACCCAGGCACAGACCGACTGCACACGGCAGCAGCAGCACGCCCACCTCCCAGCAGGACTCGACACTCCACTCGACACTCGACTCTCCCCCATCAGGCGCTCCAGTGCTCACGGCAGCTCCCTTCACACTTGGTCGCCGCGCCCGCTCACACGCGGGAATCGGCTGCGGGACATGCTGAGGCCATACATTTCCTAATCCGGCCCTCCCTTGGCTTGCATTGTGCAGATGGGGAGCCGAACGTTGGTGACTTCATCTCCCGGTGCCAGAAACATCGCGCTTGTAACGCTATCCGTCGCCAAACCCCCCAACCCTATCAATAGCCACACCGGCTGCCATCTCACCCTTTCGCTCGGGAGAGCATCCTGCTGGCCGTGTGGGTACTCTATGCGATGCCTTCTCTGCCCCGTAAGGTCTGCCGCGGCGCACAGGCGTCTCCGACGGTGGGGTCTAGCGTCTCCTTCTAGACGACCGTCGATATGCTCGTTTTGGCAGCCATGGGTCTTGCTAGTCCGAAGCACTGACTGCGGCTATGCCACCACGCAGATCCGCCCGCCGGACGCCTGCTTGATCCCCCAGAGACCCCTGGTCTATCGATCTACCACACGCTTCTGATACATACATAATAGCCTGGTCCTGAGCTCCCCTCACAGCTTCTTCCCTACCCTATCTTACCTTTTGTTGCTCTCGGACAGACTAGCCACCTGCCCATCAACTTCTTGTTTCTTCCTTCTCCTTCACCAGACTGCTCGCCTTCTTGAGCTTCGAAGGAGTCCCTGCAGCTTCTTCACACAATACCACTCGCTGACCCATCCGTCCTCTCCAACTCTTGCATCCTCCGTGACTAGCCACCACGGTCGTTTGCCTTGCGAACCCTCTTCTAATCAGTAATTCGCGGACCGAACCCTTTGAGACAACATCAAAGTCCCCCAGAAGCATTTCCACAAACCTCCAAACGAAGGAACGAACCTCGACTCACACGACTACAACGTTCCGCATTTCCGCCAACATGTCGAACGTCATTCTTTTCGGCGACCAGACCGCCGAGCAATACCCTCTCCTCCACCGCATCGTTCTCCGCAGGGACAATGCACTCCTCTCCAACTTCGTTGAGCGTGTCGCTCTCGCCATTCGCGAGGAGACCCGCAACCTCCCGCGCAGCCAGCGAATGTCGATCCCCGACTTCTTGACCCTCAGCAACTTGGTCGAGGCGTACTACCAGAAGGGCACCAAGGTGCCAATGCTCGAGTCTGCCTTCGTCACCGTCGCGCAGCTTGGTCACTACATCGGATACTTCTCTGAGCATCCCGCTGAGCTCCCAGCAGCCAGCAACACCCGCGTCCTCGGTCTCTGCACTGGTCTCCTTGCCGCGTCTGCCGTCGTCTCTGCAAGGACGGTCGAGGAGCTTGTCACTCTCGGTGTCCACTTCGTCCGTGTCGCCTTCCGCTCTGGTGCGGTAGTCGACAGCGTGCGCTCTGTTCTCGGCCAACCGGGCCAGGAGCAGGCACCTTGGTCTGCCATTGTCACTGGGGCCAATGAGCAAGCTGCAAAGAAGGCTTTGGCTGCTTTCCACGAAGAGAAGGGGATCCCACAACCCAACCAGGCCTACGTGAGCGCCGTCTCCGTCATGGCAATCACAATCTCCGGCCCTCCCACGACCCTGGAGCGACTGTTCAAGGAGTCCGCTCTGTCCTCGAACAACCGTGTCCCAATCCCAGTCTACGGACCTTACCACGCTGAGCACCTGTTCGGTCCAGCTGATTACGAGAAGATCATGTCTGGCGAGGTCGGCCGCGAGCTGAGGAAGCACCTGCCAGCTTCTCTTGTGCACTCTGCAGCTACCGGCAAGTCCATGGTTGCCGAGAACTCTTATGAGCTCGTGAAGCTCGCTCTTGGAGAGATGATGCAACATGCAGTCCGCTGGGACCGTCTCCTCGAGGAGGTTGTCTCGCAGATGGCCTCCGCCAAGTTTGGCGCCAAGATCTACGCCATGGGTGTCAGCAACGTTGCCAACAGCTTCGTCTCTGCACTTAAGGCTGGTGGGCAGAACAACGTGTCTGTCGTCGACCACACCACGTTCACTGAGGACACTCAGTATACCGGTCGCACCCAGAACGACAAGGTCGCCATCGTCGGTCTTGCCGGTCGTTACCCCAACGCCGCCAACCACGAGGCTCTTTGGGATCTCTTGATGAAGGGCCTTGATGTTCACCGTAGGATCCCTGCGGATCGCTTCGATGCCGATGCTCACTGCGATCCGTCTGGCAAGGGCAAGAACAAGTCTCACACTCCTTTCGGCTGCTTCATCGACGAGCCAGGTCTCTTCGACCCTCGTTTCTTCAACATGTCTCCACGTGAGGCTGCTCAAACCGATCCTATGGGCCGTCTCGCCTTGGTAACTGCGTACGAAGCTCTTGAGATGTCTGGATACGTTCCCAACCGTACTCCCTCCACAAAGCTTCACCGTATTGGAACCTTCTACGGTCAGACTTCCGACGACTGGCGTGAGATCAACGCGGCTGAGAACGTCGACACCTACTTCATCACTGGTGGTGTGCGTGCCTTCGCCCCTGGCCGCATTAACTACTACTTCAAGTTCTCCGGCCCCTCGTACTCTATCGACACTGCCTGCTCTTCGTCTCTCGCCGCCATTCAGCTCGCCTGCACCTCCCTCTGGGCTGGTGACTGCGACACTGCCTGCGCTGGTGGTCTCAACGTCCTGACCAACCCCGACATTTTCTCTGGTCTTTCCAAGGGTCAATTCTTGTCCAAGACTGGATCTTGCAAGACCTACGACAATGACGCCGACGGCTACTGTCGTGGTGATGCCTGCGGTACTGTCATCTTGAAGCGTTACGAAGACGCTATTGCCGACAAGGACAACATCCTTGGTTGCATTCTGGGCGCCGCTACCAACCATTCTGCGGAGGCCGTCTCCATCACCCACCCGCACGCTGGGGCCCAAGAGTTCTTGTACAAGCAGGTTCTTGCCAATGCTGGCGTTGACGCGCACGAGATCAGCTATGTGGAGATGCACGGTACAGGCACTCAGGCTGGTGACGGCATTGAGATGACCTCGGTCACCAACGTGTTTGCTCCCCGCCACCGCCAGCGAAAGCCAGAGCAGACCGTTCACCTTGGTGCTATCAAGGCCAACGTTGGTCACGCCGAGGCTGCTTCCGGTATCAACTCTCTCTCCAAGGTGTTGATGATGATGAAGAACAACAAGATCCCTGCCAACGTTGGTGTCAAGGGCGTGATGAACAAGACGTTCCCCGCTGACTTGAAGGATCGCAACGTTCACATCTCCCTCAAGGAAGTGGACTGGCCACGCAAGACTGAGGCCCCTCGCAAGGTCTTCCTCAACAACTTCTCTGCCGCCGGTGGAAACACCGCACTGCTCCTCGAGGACGGACCTGTCCGCAAGGCGCCAACCGCCACCGACCCTCGTGGCACTCTCCCAATCACGGTTACTGCTCGTTCCATTGGCTCCCTGAAGCGCAACTTGGTCAACTTGCAGCAGTACGTGAAGGACAATGGCAGCACCACTCTGCCATCGTTGTCCTACACTCTGACTGCTCGTCGCATTCAGCACAACTACCGCGTTGCCTTCCCGCTTGCTGACATCAACAAGGTGGTGGATGCTCTCCAAGCTCAGGTCAAGGAATCGTACAACCCAGTCCCAATGGCTGCTGCCAAGACCGCATTCTGCTTTACTGGCCAGGGCTCTCAGTACACTGGTCTCGGCCAGAAGCTGTATCAGGACCTCAAGAGCTTCCGTGAAGACATCAACCAGCTCGACCAGCTCGCCCGCATCCAGGGTCTGCCGTCCTTCCTCGAGCTCCTCGATGGTACCGACGTCCAGACTCTCTCTCCGGTCAAGGTGCAGCTCGGCATGGCCTGCATTCAGGTTGCGCTCGCTCGCATGTGGGCATCCTGGGGCATCACCCCAACCGCGGTCATCGGCCACAGCCTGGGTGAGTACGCCGCTCTTCACGTCGCAGGTGTCATCTCTGCATCCGACATGGTCCTTCTTGTCGGACGCCGTGCTGAACTGCTTGTTCGTGACTGCACTCCTCACACTCACGGCATGCTTGCTGTCAAGGGTAGCGCCGAGGCTATCCGCAGCACCCTCGGCAGCAAGATGACCGAGATTGCCTGCATCAACGGCCCAGAAGAGACTGTTCTTTGTGGCAGTGGTGACGTTGTTGGTGCTGCCAACGAGACCTTGACGCAGCGTGGTTTCAAGGCCACCAAGCTGAACGTGCCATTCGCCTTCCACTCTGCCCAGGTTGACCCAATACTCGACCAATTCAAGAAGATCGCCTCCTCGGTCACCTTCAACAAGCCCGTTGTGCCAGTCCTGTCTCCTTTGGAGGGCGAAATCATTCGCGATGCGGGCATCATCGGCCCCGAGTACCTTGCTCGTCACGCTCGTGAGACCGTCAACTTTTGGACCGCACTTACCAGCGGTCAGAAGGAGAAGATCTTCGACGAGAAGACTGCCTGGCTTGAGGTGGGAGCTCACCCAGTGTGCTCTGGCATGGTCAAGGCCTCCATCGGCGCCACCGTCACCGCTCCATCCCTCCGTCGTGGCGAAGATGCCTGGAAGACTGTCTCCACCAGCATCTGCCAGCTCTTCACTGCCGGCGTCTACGTCAACTTTGACGAATTCCATCGCGAATTCAACGATGCTCAGGAGCTGCTTCCCCTGCCAACTTACTCATTCGACAACAAGAAGTACTGGCTGGACTACCACAACAACTGGACTCTCACCAAGGGCGAGGTCCCTCAGGCCAAGGAGGTTGTTGTCGAGAAGCAAGTCGCTGCTCCTGCGCCAGTCGTCGAGGCACCCAAGAAGCGCCTCTCCACTTCCTGCCAGAAGGTGATGGAAGAGGAGTTCGCCGGTGACCAGGCACGTGTTGTCGTCCGATCCAACTTGGCAGACGAGAAGTTGTACCCCGTCGTCTGTGGTCACATGGTCAACAACGCTGCCCTATGCCCATCCTCGTTGTACGCTGACATGGCTCTCACCGTCGCTGACTACATCTGGAAGGAGGCCCGTCCAGGCACCGAGACCCCAGGCTACAACGTCTGCAATATGGAAGTGCCAAAGCCGCTCATCGCACAGATTCCACAGCCACCTCAGGGTCAGCACATCGAATTGGAGGCCAACGCCGACTTGGAGCAAGGCATCTTGAAGCTTCAGTTCCGCAGCGTGCAGCCCGATGGCAAGAAGATCCAGGACCATGCCTCTTGCGTCGTCCGCTACGAAGACAAGGCTGCTTGGTCCGAAGAGTGGGCCCGATACAACTTCATGGTCAAGGCGCAGATGGAAATGCTCACCGCCAAGACGATGAATGGCGGCGCTCACAAGGTTCAGCGTGGTATGGCCTACAAGCTTTTCAAGGCTCTTGTCAACTACGACAGCAAGTACCGTGCCATGGCCGAAGTTGTTCTCGACGGTGCCAACACCGAGGCGTCTGCCACCCTCGACTTCCCAACCAAGCCGGAGGACGGCGACTTCTACTGCGCTCCTTACCACATTGACGGCTCTTGCCACATCTCTGGATTCATCGTCAACGCCTCTGACTTGCTCGACTCCGAGCAGAACGTCTACGTCTCCCACGGCTGGGGTGCCATGAAGTTCTCTAAGCCTCTGGTCGCCGGCATGCGCCTCCGCAACTACGTGCGCATGCTTCCTCAGCCCAACAACATTTCCAAGGGAGATGTCTACATCATGCAAGGTGATGAGATTGTGGCTGTCTGCGAGGGCATCAAGTTCCAGCAGATCCCACGCCGTGTCTTGAACACCTTCCTCCCGCCGAACAAGGGCTCTGCAGCCCAGGCCGCACCTGCTCCTGCTCCTGCCCAGGCTGCTCGTGCCGCCGTGCCTCGTCCTGCTCTGGCCCGCACCTCGCCAGTACCCGCACCGATCAAGACCGCAGCGGCTCCAGTCAAGCGCACTGTCTCTTCCGCTCAGCCAACTCCGGTCACCGCGACCAAGGCCTCGAAGCCCAAGAAGGCCGCTGCCAAGAAGCCCGCCGGCAGTCTCGTCGACAAGGTCATGCGAATTCTTGCCAAGGAGACCGAAGTCGACGTGTCCGAGCTTGTCGACGATGCTCACTTCGAGAACCTCGGCGTTGACTCTTTACTCTCCCTGACCATCTCAGCTGTCTTCCGTGAAGAACTCGAAATGGAGATCGCCTCCTCTCTCTTCACTGATTACCCAACTGTCGGAGAGATGAAGAAGTACTTTTCCCAGTTCAATGGTGCTGCCAGCAGCAGCCCAGCCGAGACCGAGGAGGACTCCGACGAGGACAGCCTGCCACCAACAGACGTGCCAACTCCCTTTGACGTCATCTCCACTCCCGCCTCCAGCGCCCCCAGTGTTGCTCCCAGTGATGCTGGTAAGCCGGAACTCGACTCACCGACCCGCGAGACCCTTGCCGATGTTGCCGACGTCAGCCTGGCTCGTCACGTCGTTGCCAGCGAGATGGGTGTCGACATCTCTGAGATCACCGACAACGCAGAACTGGCCGAGATGGGAATGGACTCGCTGATGAGCTTGACCATTCTTGGTGAGCTTCGTGAGAAGACCGGCATCGATCTTCCATCTACCTTCCTCTCGACCAACCCTACCATCAAGGACATCGAGGATGCTCTCGGTATGCGCCCCAAGGCGAAGGCCGCCCCAGCTGCTCCCAAGCAATCTTCGACCAAGACTGATTTGAACGAGGTTTCCGCTAGGTTATCCGAGATCAACCGAACCGACATCTCGAGATATCCTCCTGCCACCTCCGTCCTGCTCCAAGGCAATGCGAAGATCGCTACGAAGAAGATCTTTTTCCTGCCTGATGGATCCGGCTCGGCTACCAGCTACGTCAGCATCCCAAACCTCGGACCAGACGTTTGTGCGTACGGTCTCAACTGCCCCTTCATGAAGAGCCCGGAGCAATGGCAATGCGGCATCGAGGTCTCTTCCCTCATCTACCTTGCCGAGCTCAAGCGTCGTCAACCTAAGGGCCCTTACATCCTCGGTGGCTGGTCAGCAGGTGGTGTGATTGCGTACGCCGTGGCACAAGCTCTTCTCGCTGCCGGCGAGAAGGTCGAGAAGTTGCTGCTCCTCGACTCTCCTTGCCCGGTCAACCTCGCACCTCTTCCCGCCCGCCTCCACGTCTTCTTCAACGAGATCGGTCTTTTGGGCACTGGAGACCCAACCAAGACTCCAAAATGGCTGCTTCCTCATTTCTCTGCTGCCATCCGCTCGCTCAGTGACTACGACCCAAAGCCCAGCATTGGTCCTATGCCAACCTACGCCATCTGGTGCACCGACGGTGTAGCCGGCAACCCAGGCGACCCACGCCCACCACCAGCTGAGGAGGAGGACCCAGCGCCAATGACCTGGCTCCTCAACCATCGTACCGACTTCAAGTCCAATGGCTGGGATCAACTGTGCGGCAACAACATGAAGTTCGGCGTCATGGGCGGCCACCACTTCTCCATGATGAAAGACCCTCACGCACACGACCTTGGCAAGCTCATCCGGGAGGGACTCGACTGGAAGGCATGAAGCTTCACGCTGAGCGCCTTTCCTTTCTTTCGATTCGATTCCCTTTGGATGCCTCGTTGCCATGGCCTTCTTGGACTGAGACGAGCTTCATGACAGCTCTGGCATCTCTTCACAAAGGACGGCGGACGACAGAGTTCATCATTTTCTGGAACCATCACCTTGGCCGGTCGATCAACTGGAGAAGTTACGCTCGGGAGTCCCTTGACCCACCTACGATCTTTGCTACACGCCACTTACTTCACTCGCTTTGACTGCGCTTGTTTTCCCTTTTTGACGTCGCAAATGCATAATTGGGCGGAGCTTGAATGATATAGAGACAACTTGGGCGCACGTTTTGGACTTGAGCGTTTGTTTGATTTTTGATTTTTGATTTTTGTTTTTGCCATCTTGGGATACCTCACATGCCTTTTTGTTGGCGGCATCAAAGATCTTCTTTACTTCTTTACTTATTAGACACGATCGCTGTGGATGTTTCTGCTGATGATGTCGATGACGATCGATTGAAGGTGGCTCCTTCTCTCTTTCCCGCTAGGTCATTAGGATAGTATAGCATAGCATAGCTTCTTGTGGCTGAATGAAGCAGCAGTCGATTTATTTCACAAATTGCCGTCTTCTCACTTTTCTTCTTTAGAAGTTTGCTTGTCTTGTCTTGCCTTTGCGAGGCTGCATTTCGTTCTCTGACTTCCGACTTCTGACCTCGGACAAATTCCCGATGCGACCAAATTCATCTCAGCTGAAAGAAACTAAGGGACCAGACCACGAGCTGATTAGCACGTCAGCATCCATCTCAGCTGGCTGACTGTGACAGTGACAGTGCTCCCGATACCGGAAGAGAACTGCATGGATGAGGAGCTTCGTCCACGAAGCCGTCCAAGAATTGGGCATGCCAAGCAAGGTGACATGGCATCTTCAAGCTTCACCGATCACGAATGAGAAGAGGATCAAGTTTGCACAGGCCGCGGGAAGCTCTCTCGATGAATGACATAGATGGTGATGACGACTTTCTTTCTTTCGTTCTTAGTGATGCACACACACACACACACACACACACACAGGGCAAGATTTGTTAAGAGCTTCATGGTGACGCCCCCCGCCATTATCTTGGAGGGGGGCTAATCAGAAGTGCTCGTGATTACGTTTGAAGCTCGACAGCAAGCTGCTGCCAAGATTTCCCTGTCTGCTTGCTCCACACTCAGCCATTGCGTTCTTGATGGTCTGGGATGTGTATAGTAGGGTACGTGTTGTCCAGACAGAACATTGAGTCATATTATGACAGCGCATCGTTGGCAGAAGCGGTGCTCGTGGGATGGCTGGCTGGCAAACTGGCAAAATTTTGTCTCGTGCCTCGCCACCCTGAACGGCTCCGGCACCATAGACTCGTGCGGTGACAAGGGCGCACCAGGTCGACATGTGTGAAATGGCGACATTGAATGCCAGGAATGAGGCGGTCTCCAGGATGCAGGTGAAGCCCGGGACAAGGAAGAAGAAGAAGAATTGTATGCGATGCGAGCAAGTAGAGTCCTTGTTGAAGAAGTCCCTTGGCAACAATTCAGCCGAAGGGATGTGGAAGATACTGTGGAGCAGGACCAACTTGTGGGGATGCTTAAAGCGCAGACCATGTCTTGTCAGGTTATTAATGCGTTGCTGTGTTTCGTACGCGCCAGCAAGGCGGGACTGCATGGAGTTTGCCGCACGACGTCCTGAAACCTCCTCGAGCAGCTGCGGGGCTATTCTTCTCGTTTCAAAAGGACATAGCAATTGCAAACGGCGATTGCAAACGGCGTCTAAATTGACAAAGAGTCCACGCGTGTCTCGTCGCACACTACTTCACAGCCAGCTTGGATCAAGATCCTGTGCGTATGTGGATTCGGACCGAAATACAAGTGTGATGAGTGGTCACATACCGTTCGTACATAGCTTATCAGTTTAGGCTTCCTGGGCGACTGCAGGCTTGATACTCGACGCTGGCCGGGTGTAACTCGCACGAAACTGAAGACGGGCTCGGTCGAAACAGCAGACACGTCGTCGCACCCTCTACCCGCACTCAGTTCAAATAGACTTCGATGTTGACAGCAGACGACGAAGGCCATCCGAGGTTCCTTCCAACGGCTCTCCGGACGCGGTCCTAATTATTGTCGACTAGTCTTGTCGTCATTAACACACTGATTCGTGCACGTCGCCCGACTTCGCTGGATCTTATCGTCCTCTTTGCGCACGATCAGAGACGTCAACACTCGCCATCTCATCGTCAGCACCAAAGAGCCGAATTTCTTATCGCATGTCGCTCGGGATTCGAGCCGATCGGGAAATTCCTCATGTACCCTAGGACCAAGATGGGCGTGAAGAGACGTTTGTGGCGGGATCCCCCTCAAAGTCCGGAGGGTTCAACGGCTAAAACGGCCTTGCAGAGGGGTGCTTCCCTTCATTTCCCTGCTTCGCAATATCTTTTTTCTGGAGTCTTGCATGACCCGCGTGGTCGTATTCGACATATCGGAGGTGTGGAATCAATCTTTGGTGCGTGCGGTGTGCATGCTGCGAGACCTCTTTTGCGAGACGTTGTGCTGCGTGAGAATTTGACGCGTGAAGTCAGTTTTGGAACAAACTCTAAATTTGGCGCCGGGATCTGCTCCCTGCCGTAAATCCCTGTCCAATTTGACGGGCGCGCCCGCTGGTGTGCTGATTATTGCTGTGGCACAGCAGTGGGGCTTGCGCCTCATTTCTTTTGCGCTCGTGTTTTCGTGCTGACATAACACAGAGACTGCATGTCTTCTTCCCAGTCCGGTGACTATCATGGCCGAGGTCGAGAAGCCCGCAGGGTAAGCAGATCATCAGTATCATGGCCTCGCTCTCACATGAAAGCTGAAATCTCCTCTCAGACTTGGCAAAGATGCGCCAACAAACCCGCGAGGCATCCCATTTGCGCCGTTCGTCGATAGGGTTGAGGACTATGTCACGTCTCGATCTGATGTCGAAGGCTGTATCAAGAGCTTTCAGGAGATGATCTCGTGAGTGTACCTTATCAGCCGCAATGCTAGGATGTGGATGGTGATGGTGTGCTGGGGGTATTGCTGACCGCCATTTTCGATAGCAAGTACCAGTACATGGAAGCGAACAATCAAAGACGAGCGGCGGGCCTGAAAGACAAGGTGCCGGACATCCAGAAGACACTGGATACTGTGCGATTCCTACAGACTCGAAAGGTAAGCTCGGCTCCCCAAAGCGGTGGAGCAATTCAGCTGGACGCTGGGCATATTACCTAACGAGGTCACAGTCTGATGCAGAGCCGCTGGAGGCCACTTTTGAGCTGAACGACACCCTGTACGCCAAGGCGAACATTCACAAGACAGAGGAGGTCTATCTGTGGCTGGGCGTAAGTTCCAAGATGTGCCAACATATCGCAGACTTCATCCTTTTGGGGGAAAATCGCTGACCGGCACAGGCGAATGTGATGCTCGCATACCCTCTCTCAGAAGCAGAAGAGCTGCTGGGCTCGAAGCTCGACGCAGCCAAACAGAGCCTCGCGAACTGCGAAGAAGACCTCGACTTCCTGCGAGAGCAAATCACCGTAAGCAAAGAACTTCCTCCAGCTGAGAGAGTGCCTGCAGATTGCTGACACTCAGCCCTACGCTAGACGATGGAGGTCGCCACTGCACGTGTGTACAACTGGGACGTTGTACAACGCCGGAAAGACAAGTCCGAAGGCAAGGAAGACGATGGCAAGGCGACGTCCAACGGCTAATGGACCAAACCGATCCGCTCGCGTGTGGACGTTTCGGATGCGTTGCAAACGGTCTTGAAATTCATCGGCGTCTTGAGATACCCTCGTCGTAGCAAGAAGTCTTCAACACATGGTTCTCCGGCCATTGAGGCACCTGACCGACAGTCCGCCTCAGAATCAGTGTCACAATCTCATGACCCTCTATCCTAGAAATCCACACTCGTCCTCTCAGATGAACCTGTTGAAAAAGTGCCAACAGCTCACGCCCTCATTCCACCTCAAGAATCTTTGGAAAAGCATCCGCAAATGTCACCTTCCTGCACAACAATTCCCATCATTTACTCTTTGAAGTCCATCACCGCTGCTCACCCTACCGAATCTTCACTCCGTTCCAGACGTCAGCGTTGCAAACCTACACATCCTCACGCCCATCTCCAGATCCATGCTCCAATTTCCACGCGCATCACACATGGCAATGCATGGCGTAACGCCACCAAAAGCCAACTTTCAAGCACGGACGCCAAAATTCGACACTTTTGGACACCAACCGGATTTGGACTGCATAATTTCCACAGACTCGAAGGAAGAGCTGGAACACCGAAAAGGGAAGTAGGTAGGTCGGAAGTGGCGTTGTGGTCACAATGGATAGGGGAAGAGGTTCTAGATCAGTCGCAAGGGGAGTAAAGACGTCACGTTCAGGATTGCAGACGACATCGCGACGTCTGAATGACAGCGAGAATACTTTTCAAACGTTGAGTTTTCCTGATGGTATCTCGTAGGACGGGCCTGCTACGCACACTCCAAAGCAGCTCCATCATTATCAATTCTCCCTTTCGTTGTTCTCTCTCTAGTCTCAGACCCAAAAGTGGTCATTGTCTCTTTTTTAATCGCCCCATCCCTCGCAGCGGTGGTATATGTCTTACACTCTTGCCAGGAGACAATTAAGGACTGCCCAACTCCGTTGGATAGAAGAGCGAAAGGAAAGTCCAGGCCAACTGTCGTGGCATCCTCTCCTGGCGACTTTGGGCTTCGCCTCATGATTCCAATTCCCAACGCCGACGCTAAATGCAAACCAAAACTCCCAGTGATAAAGCCAGAAAAAAGAAGAAGGTCCATGTGCCGGGTCCAGAGGCACCCAGGGCAATAATGCGGTGGAGTGATGCAAGGCAGACGGCTAGTCAAGCTCGATGACTTCTTTCTTTACTTTGGCCTGGTTGTTGCGAGCCCCAGTCATGTTCGAGTTCCCAGTCATATTCGCTACAGGCGCAGGCGGTGGCTTCGCGTTGGGCTGAGGCTGCTTCTGCTGTGTAGAAGGCGGTCGCTGTTGCGGTAGAGATTTCTGCTGAGCATTATGATGCTTTGGCGGCTGTAACTGTGCCTGCGGCTTCATATCCTGCTTGACAGTGCCATTTGCAGGCTCGGCAGACGTAGACGTCAAAATCTCGTTCTGTCCAGCGAATTTCTGCATGAGCTCATCGATCTGTATGACGATCTCACCAGCGGTTGCTGATCGAGCACACAGAGTCCCATCCTCAAGCCCCCACCACTCCTGGCTCTTGTGCTTCGCAAGCTCCAGTATTGCCTTTCCGACATCTGACCTTTCTAAATCTGCCATCTTCTTACCGTCTGCTGATAGCCTCCACATGACGACCTTTCTAACAGCATCCGATCTCTCTACGCACTCGACCGTAAATATAAAGGATGGAAGAGGTGCTCGGTATACCAGTTGATACCTCATTGGGTGCCTCAAGTAGATCGTGAGCGTGTCTTTAGCCGAGATCCGCGATTCGATGTGGTCGAAAGCCCGATGCACGTCGTGGGTCTTTTCAAAAAACTCGCAGAGCAGAGTGAAACACTCTTCATAGTTGCGATTGAGGGCCTTCTCCAGCATGGACCGCATACGTCTGTGGGGATTTGAATTCTCTGGCTCGAGTTTAAGCTTGACAGGAAGGCCGTCTTCTCGTTTAGAAAATGTAATCACGGCACCAAGTTCGGGCGCATTCTTGTAAGTGAATGCAATCTTCTGCAGGCTGGCGGAGCCACATCTGAATTTGAATGAATGCATTGCCGAGAGACAGCGGTCGAGGCGATCGCAGCCTTTCAAACGGGAAACGATCTCGTCGAGATACGGCTTGCCGAAAGGCGTCCGCATTCTCAGGGCCAAGGCGTTGGATTCGTTCATAGCGATATCCTCGTCCCCGCTCCTAGTAGTCAGGTACTCCTTCAGGTGCTTCAATTTGCCTGTCTCAACAGTCACGCGAATTTCGTGGCTCATGCTCGAGCTGTCTTCGCCCTCTGACGGTGGCAGAAGGTATCCATGGTGAGTGAGTTTGACAAAGTCAGCAATGAAGTTCTTGCCCCTGGCATCTTTTAGCAGAGTCAATCCACTGAAGAAGATGGCGAATGTTGGCAAGGAGAGGGCCACGGCGCTGCCTTCTTCGAACGTTAGCGAACTTTGCTTCTCAGTCGTGAAAGGGATGCCCATGGATGTCAGCTGCTGAGAGAGCACTGCAAAGGATACCTCAGCCACAGCCATCTTCTCGATCTGCAAGAGCAACGAGCGAGATATCGTCGGGCTCGAGGTGAAGATCTCGGTGCTTGGAAGTCGCCGAACGTCTTTGATGATCCTAGCAGGCGCATTGCTTGTAGTTGCCGGTCGATCTTCAAGTCGTCCCGTCCACCAACTTTCACCTGATAGTGAGTAAGTGACAAAGAGTTTCCATTGATCGCCCCAGTTTTTGCTGCAGGTGTAGGCCCTGTAGGCCCAGAAGTTCGAGCCAAATGCCGACTTGAGAACATCTTGTCGGAGAGGGTACTGCAATGCCTGCCAGCCCGCGAGCTCGGTCGCTTTATCGACGCGATCTTGGACAGCCTTGCACACTAGTCGAGCAAGCGCATCAACGTAGTCAGGATTGGCATTGTTGTTGAGGGCACGCTCCTCATGCGCAATGCGCTTGGTTGTCGGGGAGAGCGAAAGCCTGCCAGTGATGGATTCGAAGCGTACGAGCAAAGGCGTTGATAGTCCAGGTAGAGCCAGTTTCAGTGAGCAGTCGCCTGAGGCTGAGGTAGGAAGTGCCAGCTGCATATCCAACTTCGAGCTGGTGCCGGCCACCGCTCGTAATCGATCGCGGACGGACGCCAAGATCCGCGATGCATGCTTTGCGGTCACAGTTGACAAGATTTTTTCAACATCAATGTCGTTCCAATCAATGTCGATATTCTCGCTCTCTGCCATTTCGCCTCTTCGAAACCAGCGAGTGACGATTCGAGGCGTCGGCGGTCGTGAAGATTTGAAGTTGCGGTCTTTCCCGGTGGTAACACCAAACTCAAGCCAGCTCTTCTTTCCAGGGAGGCCTGTCCAATACTGAATGACAAATACTCTATTCCTCTTGTCTGCCAAAACGCAATTGAACCATTTATCGCTGATCTTCTCTCTTTGAATCCTCTCGGTCTGGTCGCGCAGCACGTTGATCTTGTGAGTCAAAACAAAATTGTGCAGAAAGCTGTAACAGCCGAGCAAGCCTTTCGCGGCCAGTTCGCCGTTGACAAGCGCTTCCAGGTGAGATCTGAGAGCATCATTCGAGATCGTCGGGCTCGGCGCGAACAGAAATCTAATGTCGATGAAGTAGAACGGCGTTGCAGGGTCTTCGTCAGCTACCGATAAATCCACCTCGAATTCTCCTGCTACTCGAAAAGTTGCGCGACCATTCGCAATAGAAAAGTCGTTGAAGTGCGAAGGTAATTCTTCGTGCAAGTTCAGCCGCGTGGAGAGAGTGACGTTCATAGACTGTAGAGTCCGTAGGAGCTGCTTTGCGGTAAAGCGCTTTGGTGGGAGGTATCCCAGATCCGGAACACGGGTGGTCTTTCCAGTCGCTAAGAGCTCTAGTGCGCCTTCAATGTTCGGGTTTGGCATCTTCGCGCTTCGGATGTCGTTCTTCGTGATGCCTATGAACTGAATGGCTTGCCGTTGCGCAGTGGCTTGCTTCTCCTGCCAGACCTTGAGATCAACCAGCTTTGCCATGTCATCGCCCGCGTTCTGAGCCCAGTCCGTGAGAACCAAGGTCTTGATAAAACGATCGCGCTGGCCTTGCGCAAACTGCATGAATTTGCGCTTCTTGTCCAAGCTTGTTGAATCGCTGTCGTGAGTGCTTGGCGTAACGCCGTTTGGTTGCCCATTCTGCTGAGTGACAGGGGTTTCCGCCATGGCGGTCAACGTGGTATCCAGGTCGGCGAAGCATTGCTGAGACAAGCGCTCGATCAGCTTGCCCATCGACTTGTTGGAGTCTGAGCTCCGCCATGACTGGTCCAGCTCCGGCGGTGCTTGCACCGATTGTTGTCCTGCAGAGTCGCCATTGGTGGCCGGATGTAGGTCCTCTGCTGGGGCACCATTGGGTAAAGGCCCATTTACGGGCATCGCGGCAGGTCCATTGACCTGCGGCGCATGATTGCTTTGCGCAAAGTCTGGCTTCGGCGGTAGCTGCGCTTCTTGGGCATGGCTGCGGTCCTTTTTCAGGTCTTGCGACTGATCCATGCTCAACAGCCGTCCTGGCATCCCTCCAACTTCGTCGCCAGATCTACCGCCCTCCTCGCTCCGACTCGCTCCTCCACCGCCGGCGTCCTGCCCCTGGAGAAGAGAATTTGCGTCTTCTATCTTGAAAGCGTCGTTCGAATTTCAGGTCATGTCTTCTGCGTCGCGTCGTGCACACCTGCGCGCTCGGGAGTCTGCGCAGCGCAGGTGTTCTCGACCCGAAGATTTGAAGAGCTCTCTCGCCTGTTCGCGCAGGTGAAGGCGAGGCCGGTAAAGGATACGCGTATGGTCAAGGGTGTGGGTGTTGATGTCACGGGCGCGGGACCGGATGCGTTCGCCTGCGGGCTCGGCGCGGAGTCGGGAGACTGTCGCTATAGCAATACGGATTGAGTATGAATGCGCGCGGTGGTGTGAGCTGAGATATGGGAGATGTCGGGGCGGTTTGGGGAGTGGTGGTGGTGGACGTGGTGCTGCTTGGGACGAGCAATTGAGGATCAGCGTCCACTCCCAGCGCAGGCAAGCGGCGGCTCACCCGCTCCGAACCTTGTTCGCCGGTGACGTTCAGCTGTACGCTAGTCCCAAAAGATACTCTGCAAGCGGCCTGAGGCTCCGAACTTACTTATATGATAGAGTCTGCCCTCTTCCTTCTTCTTTCCCTCTACACGCCTTGCATTTCACTCCTCACGGATCTCGATACCGACACCAATCACTGCGAGATGCATGCGCCCAGAAGAAGCGCTAGCATCGTCACGGGTGGGACGCGATGGACGACGGGCCAGCCTGGGTGCAGCTGTCCTTGCAGCCGAACCAGTCTTCTACAGTACTCTGCAACCGCACAATAGCTCAGTCAACAGCATCGCGCTTCCTGTCAGAATCTGCGATGCCAATCCCATGTGCGACGGGCCATAGCGCTCTGGAGACGCATCGCTAGACTCCGCCTTGGACGCATGTGCTCTACCGCCGATCTAGAGACAGCCTGCGTGGCATCTACACTCAACGTCTCCGTCTTCGTCTCAAGAGCAGTTCATCGCAGACATCGCATCGCGGCTGAATGCCCTCAAGGATCAGGCGGTCCTCTTGGGCGTACTGTCGCGACGGGGAGCACCTCGTGGCCCAGGCAGCTAGTGTCATCTTGCGAACCACTAGCTCGCGGGTAAAATGGTCAAGCGACGGGTAGCTAGTAGGTGTGGTGCATGAAGCCAGAAAGTGTTTTCGGGGTCCTTGAATGCTGGAAGGCTCGCAATCTTACGACGGCTTGCTTCTTCGTGGACCCTCCACTTTCGGCTCGCGTGCCTGACCGCCCGAAAGTACTGTCATGGCATGGAAGGGAGGGATTGCATGAATGAAGGCCCTCTCGCCCAGGTCACTCACTAGTTCTAGCTCGTGACCAGGTCCTCCTGCTGCACACCACATAATCTCAACATGCCCACGCGCTCCAGGTCTTATCGTGATACCCGCCCGTCGCGTAGCATAGCGTGCTTGCACTCCCGCTAGCTCCCTACATAGTCTTGCAGGCAGTACATCTTTACCCTCCATTTGAATCTGCTCTTCCTGCTTCTCGTGAGATCCATGTCCGAACAACCAAGATGCTGGGCGCGGCTCAGCTTTCCGCTTCGGTGAAGCCATGCCGCGTCGGAGCTTGCTGACCTCACCCCACCCCCCATCACAATCATTGCCACCGCATCTCCGGGACGAAGACGACAACAACAATAATACAAGTACCGCCTCTCCACCAAAGCCTGGCGGAGAGCCACCACCTGCGGGCTCCGACCGCGATCCGTGCTCTCAGCAACGCTACGAGAGCGGCAGCGAGGCCGATGACGAGCGCTCATCCTCCGCCCTCTCCACTCCCTCCGAAGACTTCTACATCATGGGTCCCGTAGATGTCGACGATCGAGGCCGTCCGCTGCCGTCCTATCCAGGCGAAGACACGAGACCAACATCAAACCGCGAGCTTCTCGGCTTCTACACGTACTCCTTTGCTGCCGAGGTCTTTGTTGTTTGCGGACTGGGAGCCTTCATACCCATCACGCTTGAGGACTTAGCGAGAGCCAGCTCTACTGCTGTCCTAGCGCACGATCACAGCAAGCCGTGCAAACCCCACGGTGTTGATCAATCTCCATCTCCTCCTACATTGTTAGCCCTGTTCGACCGCAGCAGACATGGCGAGTCTCCCCAAGTCGGCCAATGCGTCTTCCGCATTCTTGGAATCGAGGTCAACACTGCCAGCTTCGCGATGTACACCTTCTCAATCAGCGTTCTGTTGCAAGCGCTCCTCGTCGTCACCATGTCAAGTGCTGCGGATCACGGCAAGTACCGAAAGTCTTTACTGATTAGTTTGGCGGCCATTGGATCGATTGCGACCATGCTCTTTCTTCCCGTCACGCCTGCGGTTTACTTGCTCGGAAGCTTATGGGCTATCGTTGGAAATGTTTGCGTTGGAGCGAGTTTTGTTTTGCTGAACTCCTTCTTGCCATTGCTTGTGAGGTGGCATCCTACAGTCATCCCTGAACTGGAAAGCAGTCAGATGGCAAACGATGAGCGAGAGGTATATGAAGAGGTCAGTACTCTAAGTCTTACTCTGGAAGTACCTCATGTCTTCTCCCGCACTCATCCGAGAAATTTGGCATCTTCTGTGTCATTGTTGATGGCTCCCATCAGCTGATGTCGCTAATGCCTGTCTAGTACGCTGGAGAAGATGAGCCACAGACTCTCGAACCTCGCCAAGTGCCTGATTGCACTACTCCGCTATTGCCGACGGATGGTGATACGATTCCATATCCGCCTCCGCGAGCGACGCCTTCCCGTGAGATGCAATTGTCAACCACGATTTCTTCTCATGGCGTTGGAATCGGCTACATTGCTGCGGCGGTCGTGCAGGTCTTGTCGATATTTATTCTTCAGTCTACTGGTGCCGACTTGTTCTCTCTGCGGCTCGTACTTTTCGTTATCGGAGCATGGTGGTTATGCTTTACCATTTTCGCGGCCTCTCTGCTCAGCTCCAGACCAGGCCCTCCGTTATCGTCTACCAAAACTCGCACTTGGTTCGGTTACATCACGTATTCCTGGAGAAACCTGGGAAAGACCATTATCCGCGCTCGCCGACTGCAAGATGTGTTGCTGTTTCTTGCTGCGTGGTTCATGATCAGCGACGCCATCGCGACGGTTTCAGGAACAGCTATACTATTCGCGAAAACCACTCTTGGCATGAACTCCGCCCTGCTGGCATTGATCAATCTCATCGTTACTATCTCAGGAATCGCCGGGGCTTTCACCTGGTCCAAGATATCTCGCGCGCTGCAGCTCAAGCCGTCTCATACCATTTTGACTTGCATTTGCATTTTCGAACTCATCCCCATTTACGGCCTGCTGGGCTATATTCCCGCCATTCGTCGCCTCGGCTCGTTTGGCTTACAGCAACAATGGGAGATGTATCCACTTGGCGCCGTCTACGGCCTTGTACTTGGTGGCCTCAGCTCTTACTGCAGGAGTCTATACGGCGAACTGATACCTCCCGGTTCCGAGGCTGCTTTCTACGCTCTATATGCCGTTACAGACAAAGGCAGCAGTATTTTTGGTCCTGCTATTGTTGGAGCCATCGCTGATGCGACTGGAGACATTCGACCTGCTTTCTGGTTCCTCGCTGTCCTGATTGGCCTTCCCATTCCGCTCATGCTCGCTGTTAACGTGGATCGAGGCAAGATAGAAGGCGCGAAGCTGGCAAGGGAGACGGCACCGGAAGACCTGGATGTGGATCCTGGAGAGCTTGTATTGGATCGCAGTGAAAATTCTCTGCAGCGTAGTGTCGAAGTCGTTCCTAGATAGATTCCTAACGCTCATCTCGACCACAGTCTATATTCACTTACGCCTACGAAATTACACGCTAACAGCAACGGCCAGGTCCTCGCCTTAGCCAAGCCACTGATTCGACAGTCACTCCTCTCGAAGTCAAATTCAGATTCAAACTGCGACCTTGTTTAAGCGACTACACACTTGCGAGCTCCGTGTTTCCTCTCACCGGGTTGGCACATCAAGACACCAGTAGCACCTTCCACTGCCGTGACATACTCAAAATCTCAGAGACATCCACCGCGCATATCGAGCTAGTGAATCCGATGTGTAGTCACAATGCTACTTGATTCGAGTGCTAGCAGCTTATACTTCTGAATACTGCCTGCTAGAGCATACGCCCTTTTGAAAGCCCGTCAGACGAACCGGCGCTTGGCGTGATGATGTGGATCTGATCGTAGATCTGTTTCGCGAGACCAGGCCTTGAACTCCCATATGAGGATGTCTTGAGATCAACCCCGGTGGCTTTGTGACTGATCTGATGGTCGCCTGAACGTCGACATGTATCACAGCGCCCTGTCGGTGCAAGAACCTGAATGTCCTGTTCCAGTGGAGGAGCAAAGGCACAAGTATATCATTTCCTCGCTCCCACCCAGTCCTTCTCAAGTAAAGCGCACCATCCTCTTCATCCTATTCGTAAAGTTCTGCAACCAGCTCCTATTCGGCAGCTCCTCCAATTCCCTCTTCAATGCCTCGTAATGTTCCGGATTACTCGCTGGTCTCAACAATTTCTCCTGCAGAGGGAATTGCTTTGTGATCGCGTTATCGAGTAGAAGGTATGCGGAATTTACTTCTTTTTCTTCGTCGCGGTAGGGCACGGGAGGCTTCTGGGTCCGTTGTTGGAGGATGGAGGAAAATTGTTTCTCGGGACGGAGTTGGTCTTTGGGCCAGCGGGCGAGGAGGCGGGAGTAGTGTGCGGCAATTCGCTGCAAACAGTCAGACTCTGTGCGTTTCGCGATTAGTGAGCGTTTGGAATACCTGTCTAGACATGTCAATCGTTGTTTTTGGTGTTGACTGAAGACGAGGGCTTGCGTAGTGTTCTTAATGTGAAGGCATCATCGATGGGGAAGTTCCTTCTGTCTCGGAATTATGGTTTGGTCTGCCGTACCTCTGATCACTCCCGCGGCGTGTCTCTGGAATAGGAAGTAGGTCAACTTCATCTTCTCGAAACATCACCTCGTTCTCTTTTGCCCGCTGATTATGAGAAGACAGCGCGTACTGAGGGTAATGACATACTGCCACCGCTAACAAATTGATACTGACAGCATTGGCAGACATCCTCAGCGCAAAGTCTCTGCATCTTCTGCGCCTGTCGTCTCGGCTTCGAACTTCCTCCATCCCAATTCGCCCCATTTGTTTCCAACACTGCACGGAGAGGTCTGACCAGTTCATCTGCTTCTTCGCAATCAGCTGCTGCGGCCGCTGCTGCTCCGATTCCGAACAATGGCGATGCCTCGAACTCCTCCTTTCCGGGCTACGACCCTAATTTCAGTCTCACATCGGCCGAACAGCAGGAGAGTGCTCGTAAGCAGCAGATACGTCAAGAGCAGGAGGCGCAACAGAATGATATGAGACCTGAGCAGACTGGAAAGGTGGCGGATGCGGAGCGAACTGCGAGTCGGCCGGATCGAAGTGGAAATGGGCAGTTGCGAACACCACGCAATGACATGCAGGTCCAATTCCGATCGGTGTCCCATGTAGGAAACGGCGATGGTGTCGAAGGGATCCCCGGAGGTGTAGCGCTGAGCCAGAGCATCTTTGGCAAGCAGCAAGCAAAAAAGGATCGTCCGCAGGAATCTGATTCAGACGCTGCGAATCTAAAGACTCGCATGCTCTCGAATGGCTCAAGTGATGCAAGAGCAAAAGAGAATCGTCCGCAGAAGGCTGGTCAAGACGATGCGCGCAGAAAGGCTCGCGTGTCCTCCGAGGCAAAAGAGAACCGTCCGCAGAAGTTCGGTCGGGGTGCTACGGATTCGAGAGCAACTCGTGGGACGTTCAGAAAGTATGCGGTGGATCCTTCGATCGGCGATAGCGATGCAAGGCCCAAGAAGTCCCAACCACAGCGACATGCCAAAGATCGCGATCAGCGAGAAAGCGGTAGGCTTTTCGGTCCGCAAGTCGAGCAGAAATCGCTCACAGCGCGAGCAATACCCAAGGTAGCCAATCCCTTCGCTGCGCCAGCCAAGAGCGAGAAGGGAAATGCCTCCGCAGCAGCTCCGGTGGTTGGATGGGGTGCAAGCGCAACGCAGATGCATCCCGTGAAACACGCCCCTGAATCTTCGCTAAAGCGACTAGATCCATCTTCCAACATAGAAGCTACGGAAAGCGCTTCCGGTGGGCTTAATCAGGACATTGGAATATATGATGGACCACGCTCGGAATCGCAATCGGTACTCCAACCAGGTCAAGACGAAGTAGATGGCAAAGGAGCACAGGATTCAACAATACCGAGACCTCAAGAAATCCCGATAGAGGTCTCTCCGGAGCTTCCAGAGGCCCTTTTCCGCACGAGCGATGGGATGACTGATGAGATTATGGACCAGGCTTCTATGCGAGATGACATTCCTGATCCAGAGCCCTCATCCCCAGATCATCAGGTACCGGAGATGGAGGTGGCGAGACCTCAACAAATATCACCAGAGAGTGTTCACGACACAACACAGACGAATGGAGACGCCGATGCCGGTTTTGCGCAAGAAGTTGAGGCCGCTGATAGACCAACTGAAGATACCATATTACAGACGAGTGGAGACGTGGATTACGCTTTTGCGCAAGAAGCTAAGACGGCCGATTCACAAATAGAAGATATGGTATCGCCGACGAATGGAGACGTGGACCCCTCCTTTGCACGAGAAACCCAGGCCGCTGATTTACAAACAAAAGATACGACATTTTCGACACCCGCGGACTCCGTATCTGACCGATATCAAAAGATTGTGAACAATTCAGTTCCCAAACCTGCAACGGGTAATTTGAAGGCCTCCGATGATGCAGACGAATGGATCGGATTTGGCTTGGAGGAAGACGGCATGATCGTAGACCAGCCGGAGGCCACGACCGAGGAGTACTCAGGGTACCCAGGTGTGTTCGAGGCCTACGAGGAACAGTACGAAGGAGCACAGCCAGGCGTCGCTCAGCAACGACCTGAGCCTGATGCGACACAAATAACGAATCGCGGCAGGTCTCGTCATTCAACCCAGCAGCGATCAGAACTGCGACGCGCCAGCGACGATCTGCCGCCTGGAGCAAGTATTCGTCCCACGCCAAGCCCTGGAGCTTTCACGTCGTCCGAGAACAACGACAACCATCTGCAAACGAAATACTCTCGCGATCAGAAGTCGCACTTGCAGGACTCCAATCGAAGCGAATCTAGCAACTGCGCGGTACCGCAGTACCCAGAGAAGTCTCAAGTGCCACCTCAGCAACCACAGCAGGGAGGCGCATGGGGCCTAGGTGCTTTCGGTGCCGCTTTACAACCGAACTCTGAATCTCAGGGGAGACCTTTGACGTCTTCCAACCCGAATGAATCCAGTCCAGCCCAGCAGCCTCGTGATGCGCACGGCGTTGGCCAGAAACCTCAACAAGGCAACTACAGCGACACTGGATACCGCGCGATGCCTCTCGACCGGAGGGAGATGCAGTCAAGTTTATCTGAAGAAGACGTTGTTGGTGACTGGCAACACTTCCGCCGTCGGGAGTCTGAGGAATCTCAGCAGCCGCATCCACCATCAGCGTCCCAACAGCAGCAGCAACAGCAGCATATGCCCCCTTTCCAGCAGAGAAAGAGCCGTGAATTGGATGTCCAGACTGTAGATGACTTATTTGCTCGACATCAACAGCAAAGGCCGCAAAGAAGACCCGAGCCTACACTCAATGCGGAGCAAATGAGTTCGCAAGCACTTTTTAACGATTCACATTCAGGTCCATTTCGCCAAATGAAATGTGCTCGCTGCGGTGAGCTCGGCCACCGTGCTCGGGAATGCACTGGCCCCAACCGCATGCGATGCAATGAATGTGGTCAGATCGGTCATGGAAGCTGGGAATGCCCTCAGAAGAAACCTTGGCTTCGCAAAGCTGAGGGTCAACGTCGTGAAAATGTTGAACAGGGGCGAGTTCCAAATCCTTTCGGCCAAGGAGCTACAGTGACGCACGAACCAGCGTCGACGGAAAATCAGCTGCAAATCCGAACACCTGTCTCGTACGGGAGTGAGTTTCCAAGATTTCAATCCAAGGCTAAAGAAAGTGAAAGTGCGGTCGACCAGCCGTATTCCCCGTTTTCGGTCAGACCTCAGCAGCCGCTGGAAGACCGTCGACAGCGGGAAGAGAAGCCTCCTTCGAGCTTCATCGACTCAGTTGCACCGGATTCTGTGCAGGCGGAGGAGGAAGAAGTGCCAAGGCGCGCTCGTGATAAAGCCGCTCGTGCTAGTCGCTGGGCCGATGTCGAAGAGGAAGATGACAGCCAGGACATGCGCCGTCGCAAGGATAAGAAGAGCGCCAGACGGAGAGGTGAGGACGACGAGGACGACGGTGATGGTGCTCGTGATGAATATCGCGCCAAAAAGTCCGCCCGCAAACTTCAGCAACAGAATGAAAGAAAGCGAAACCGCGAGGCCCGGAAAGCTGAGGAGACCACTCCCATCGCACTGCCAGAATTCATCAGCGTGCAGCATCTTTCGCAGATGCTCGACGTTCGATATGAGCAGTTTGTGAAGCGCCTCGAACAGCTTGGGTACGATGACGTGTTCCCGGGAAAGACTCTCAACTCTGAGACGAGTGGCATGATCGCCATGGAATACAACTTCGAACCGACCTTCGACATGGCTGTTAGAGAAGAGGAAGAGCGTGACCTAAAGGCGAGGCCCGCTGTCGAGGACACCTCACTCTTACCTACAAGGCCTCCAGTTGTCACCATCATGGGGCATGTTGATCACGGAAAGACGACAATCTTGGATTATCTTCGCAAGAGTTCTGTTGCTGCCAGCGAGGCCGGAGGTATTACGCAGCACATTGGCGCTTTCAGTGTCCCGCTCTCGAGTAGCGGAAGGACTATTACTTTCCTCGACACTCCAGGCCACGCCGCTTTCTTAGCCATGAGACAGCGTGGTGCAAACGTCACAGATATTGTTATTCTCGTCGTAGCGGCTGACGATAGCGTCAAACCACAAACTTTGGAGGCCATCAAACATGCTAAGGGGGCTGGTGTGCCAATAGTCGTTGCGATCAACAAAGTCGACAAGCCTGAGGCAGACATTGAGCGCTGCAAGCAGGACCTTGCAAGACACGGCGTAGAGATTGAAGACTATGGAGGCGACACCCAAGTCGTATGTGTCTCTGGAAAGACTGGCCAGGGAATGGACGATCTTGAGGAAACCGTTGTCACGCTGTCTGAGATATTGGACCACCGTGCAGACCGAGATGGTGATGTTGAGGGCTGGGTTCTCGAAGCTACGACAAAACAAGCAGGCCGTGTTGCAACCGTACTTGTTCGTCGCGGCACGCTCAGACCTGGCGCTGTCATTGTCGCCGGCAAGACGTGGGCTCGTGTCCGTACGCTGAAGAATGAAGGCGGACAGACCGTCGACGAGGTTGGACCTGGTATGCCAGTCGAAGTTGATGGTTGGAAGGACCAGCCTATCGCCGGTGATGAAGTTCTCCAGGCGCGAAGCGAGCAGAAAGCCACCGATGTCGTCGAATTCCGTCTCGAACGCGAAGAGTTGAAAAGGATGGCGCAGGACACGGATGCTATCAACGAGGCTCGTCGCATTGCACAAGAAAAGCGCGAACAGGAGAAAGTTGCCGGACGAGCTGCCAAGCATGGCGATCCCGAGACAGAAAGCGACAAGCCTGCTTCCAAGGGGGAGCACGATGAGCAGTCAGGCCAGATGCTTGTTCCATTTATCATCAAGGCCGACGTCTCTGGTTCCGTTGAAGCTGTATCAGCATACATTATGTCAGTCTCCAACCCTCTCATTGCACCACAAGTGCTTCAGGCTGGAGTTGGCAATATCCACGAAAGCGATATCGATCTCGCGGCTACAGCGCAGGGTCACATCATCGCGTTCAACCTGCCACCGGATAACGAAATGAAAGGCGCCGCAGAGGCGAGAGGCGTGAAGGTACTGGAGAACAATGTCATCTACCGTGTGCTGGACGACATCAAATCGGTGCTGGAGGAGAAACTACCTCCACTCGTGACACAGCGTGTTCTCGGAGAAGCAGAAGTCGGCGCTGCATTTGAGATCGGTATCGGTGGGCGCAAAAAGCTGAAGATCGCGGGATGCAAGATCCGGAATGGAGTTGTTAACAACGGAAGCATGGTCAGGGTATTCAGGAATGGGGAGAAGATTTATGATGGTGAGTTTCTCCTGGATTTGCAAGCCACCCATACGAATTTGACTAACGTGATTTTCTAGGTGTCATTTCGAGTTTAAAGAACGTGAAGAAGGACGTTCAAGAAATGAGAAAGGGAACGGAGTGTGGAATGGGATTTGAGAAGTGGGAGGACTTTGAGGTTGGGGATCAGATCCAGACTTATGAGGAGGTCTCGGAGAAGAGGAAGCTGTAAGGGTACAGGCTCTGCATGGGCAGGGCATGATCGTGTAAATATGAATCGGCCCAAGGAGAGCTCTCTGTAAATATGTGAGAAACGCAACATTGTACAATACACCGTGTTGTCTTGAGGCGCAAGTGCTCAATGTAGGCTCCTTCTGTAGTCCATCTGCGCGATGGGACTGCAAATCTATGCTCTCGAAAGAACCACATTATATCGACCCAATACTACTGGGTTGTACGCCTTCTCAACATCTATTGGATGATTCCCATTAATAGAACACGTAGCTGACTGCCTTACAGGACTTCTGCTTCCGGCATTCTTCTACTGGTATCCCTTCGGACGCAAGCTTTGGCGTATGTATAACTAACTCGCTCTATTGTGAGAAAATAAAGATGCATAGAGAGTATTCCAAGGGTCCGTCTCCTTGCCGAACTGTTCGGATGTGTTCCAGATCTGAATGGGGCTCTCATTCCTTGTCCTAGCGACTCTCCTCTGGTCGGGTTCTAAAGGACCACCGACTCCTCACAAATTGCTTCCCTTGGGACATGGTGCAGACAAAAGAAGCCATTCTTCAGATGCTGCCTCGCGGGCTTCGCCAACGAGCTCCTCCAGATTCTCAGATTCCTCACCATCTCCGAGAGCTTGAAAACGTAAATACCCTCCATGCAGTCTTCTTGCGTATCTACACATAGGATCTCAACGTCTTCCCTTCCGGCCTGGCGCATCTTCTCAGCCCAATTCTTGGCATGGTCTTCCTCCGAGAAGAAGGAGATGAAAGGAGATGGATAGCGGTTTTTCCAGGTGAAATGGTTGATTACCCGACGACGGAAGGCGTGCCAGGAGAACGAAGAAGATGTGGTTTCGGCGGCCCAGAGACCGGAGTCGTTGGAGATGGTGTTGGTGCCGGTGTATTGGACTCGCCAGAGGTAACGAGGGAGATCTTCTTGAGGATAGCGGTATTTTTCTATCAAAGGTCGTGGCATGATGTTTGGTAGTCCCTGGGGCTGCCCTGTATATTCCTTTTCTGTCCAACTTTCTCGCGTTGATCGAGCTCGATGACGACAAAAGATGCGATGCTTTCTCTTCAAGGACTCCTATTACGATGATAAGGACAGGTCATCTTTATGCCTTTTTGGTCTAGAGCATGCCCCTTGCCGTTGCCTAGTCGCTTTCACGGCCCTGTCGGTCTGGGCTTGCGTTTGCTACAGGTCGACTGTTACATTCTTTTGATGGAATCTCATTGCTTGCGCCTTGCGTGAGACACATCATTTACCACTTAACCACATCCTTTAACACTTAACGTGACTTCTTGTGCGATGATCCGTGAGTGGTATCGAAGAGCCGAAAGAAACACAGGTCTGTATAATGAGGGACCCTGGTCGACTTGGTACTCAAGTATATAGCCCGACGTTAAGTCGGGCGTATCTTTTGGGTTTAGCGTGGACAGCACAGCATATGTTACGAAACATATAGTGCCTCCTTCTATACCGTAGAGGGAGGGCGTCGAGGTATAGTAGGGAGTCGCGATAGGCTACGGCTAGCGGAACATTAGGCGTAGTTACTTAACACCGTTTCGTAACGTATGTTACTTATCTTTACGAATGGAAGTGTGGTTTTGAATAAGGTTTGCGTGCGCGACAGAGGCCACGTGACATTGACTATTCTTTTCTGTGAGATCCTTAGCCTACATGCCAAGGAATTACACTACACTTGCTAAAGTAGTATTATACCTAAGTATAAAAAACTCTAGTCTTAGCAGCCAAGTAGAGGGGATATAAAAACACCTTAAAACCTTATGTAGATAGCCGGGCTATGAACCTTCTTTGTTAGTTAAAGCTCTTACATCTAGTAGCTAAGATACCTTCTATCTTTTCTTCTAAGAATAGATAGATTAAAGCCCTCTATAT